AAGAACATTTTTTTTCTTAAGAATTTTATTTCAGGGTTTAATGAATAAAGCACTGGGAGTCTCTTGCTCATTGAATAGCAGATGCATGAAGTCTTTTACTTAGTGGCTTGTAGTACTGTCTTTTGAAAACTGGAGGTTGTAGTAAGTTATTTCCAGCTTTTACTTCCCTTATCTGAAGGAGAGCTAAGGTGTATAGCTTTTTATGTGGCATATCACATCAGCTGAAAAAATAATTAGAGGGAGTTGTAAAACAATTAAATCAATGTAGTATGAGTAAACATAGTAAGGATAAACTCCGCAGTAAAAGAAATTGTGTCTCTTTAATCAGAACTCTTTGCCTTTCTCAATGAAATAGTTGTTGAAGGGAATAGAATGTATTTTCAAAAAATTCTTCCAAAAATTCTTCATGAAAGGCTTTTAAGGAAAATCAGAAATCTTGGAAAGGGTACCTTATAGCAGACTTTTTCTCGCAGGTCCTCCTGCCAACTGTTTCACAAAGAGTTGTGAAAGAGGGACATATCCCTCATGCTGGAAGTAAGACCATATCTTGAGTCATATAGTCAGGCTGAGTTTGCAACACAGGGAAGGATACGGATTAGCTCACTTGTGCCCAAGTATATTAGAAAAGGCCAAATGGTAATTTCTGCTACTTCTATCAGTGTTCTAGAAGAAAATGTAACATATGTACTGATAAAGATTACACCCAGAGTGAAGAATAATAAAGGATGAAGAAGACAGATCAAAATATTTAGGACAAATAAAATAGTAGTGTAGTCCCTACCCCACTCTTGCATTCTAGAAGACACAATATCTATAGAAGACTTGAGTGGTGAATCAGCTGAATGTGAACACCCAATGTAATGCTGCCGCCAAAAGAGTTACTGTGATTCCTGGATGCATAAACCAAGGTTTATGCAAAAGATGAATTTACTATGAGATGTTCTGCTCGGCATAGGTCTGCTTGCTATGACACGTTTGATGATAATCATAACTGGAAAGGGTACTGAGGATGAATTAGAAGTTTCAAAGAGCAGAGAAAAGGATGGAAAGTTTGTAAAATGTGTCCTCTAGTGAGTGCTTCAAAGATCTCAATCTTTTCTCATCAGAAGGTTAAAGGCTGACCTGAGCAAAGTCTGTGCTTGCCCACACAAACAATGGGAATTGGATAATAAAGGACTTGCAAACATAGGAATAATAAATTAAAATGGATGGAACTTTAAACTGGACGCATTCAGAGCAGAAATAAATAGCCATTTGTTTAACTCCAAAGGTCATTAACCTTTGGAACAGTTTACCAAGAGCTGTTGTATGTTCTTCATCACTGAAGTCTGTAAATCAAGATTAAAGGCTTTTCTAAATGACATGTTAGAATCAAGTGGGATTGACTGAAGGAACTTTTGTGTACTATAAAGAAAGTCAGAATAGATGAGCAGTCAGCTCTTGTGGCTCTATTACCTGTTCATCTGATCTATAAACAGAGTAATATATTGCCGTGTTGTAAAGTAGGTGTGCTGATAAGAGGGTGGCTGAAAGATCTGCTAAGGTGGGTGGTGTTTAGAATACCGATTAGTGACCTGGAAAAACTGCCTGACAACAATAAAAATAAAAACTCTGTCTTGAATGAGAATTTGGAGACAACATAACAAACAGCTGAGTTTTAAGGCAGTCAAGACTAAGACATAAATGCAAGTGAAATTGGCTTTTGTGAATGATGTGTATGATTGCATAAAGGGTAGGATAGAAAAGAAACAATGTCATTATATAAATTGGTCATATGTTCTTGTTTTGAATGCTGCATTCACTGCTCTTCAAATGAAGTGCAGCAAGAATAAAAATTTCTGAAGAGGAGAAAACAAAATAATGAGACAACTGAGGATGTTTTTGCATTAAATCTAAGATAAAGTGTAGATAAACAGCTGTTGTGCTTTGACTTAGAGGTGTGTGTTATGGTGGTTCCTTGCATTTCTGTCAAATCCAGAGAAAGTACTATCCCCCTGTAAAATCAGGATATTGGGCTAGTCCAGGTACTGGTCTGATTCAGCATGGTAGAGTCTGTATTTCTTTTAGTTCTACACTATATGAGGCTTGCAAGGCAATAAATGTATTATCAGTCTTCGCAAGAAAGTATAAATCAAAAAGAAAAAAATGAAGTTATTAATGTATTCATAATTTGCGATATATTTTTTCAAGTATCTCAGAACTTCTATAATAGAATGCTTGTATATTTTCACGGAATATATAACTAATAGGATAATTAAAAAATAAAAGCTCAGAATGTCTTTTTAGAGTTCAGCCTTAAATATACTTTGACTTCCTAACCTTACTTTAAAAGTTGATCTTGCTGCCTCTAGTTTGTTATATAAATAGGAAATCTATCGAGTTGCTCCAGGAGCAGCATTCTTTGTCTGCTATCCTAACTTACATTCCGATGTTAGGTGTTGAATGCAGTGTCTGGTAAGACTGTGTGAGTTCCATACAGTTTGTAAATGAAGACGAGTAACCTGGGTCTTTAATGTTGTCTGCTTTTTATTGAATATTATGCCAGAGTTTATCGTTATAAGCCCAGCACCAAAGTGTAAGTCAAACTTAAAACCAGCAATTTGCATTTTCCCCTTACTGTGATGAGGACCTGTAATTACCTTAGTGTTAGTCAATTCTGAATTCTCCAGTATCATTAAGCCAAAGTTCCTGCAAAGCAAGTACATCTGGGAATGAGAGAAAGTTTGTGAACTACACTGAAAAAAAAACCCATTTATTGAAAGCTTTGTATCAGAAACTCTTACAAAATTCACTTAATTCCTCATGTGTGGAATGGAAGCCTTGCTACTTTATAGTTTTAATTCTGCTATTAAGAGCTACAAAATTGGTAGCAAAAAAAAAATCCAACTTCAATTGTGTGTACTGACCTGCATTCCCGTTACTGTGGTAAAATTCTGACTGACATTAATAGATGCTGCAAGAATAGGCTTGTATCTATTTCTAATTGTGCATACTCTGCCTATGTCTTGAAGCTAATTTTTTTCCCAAAGATTTTTCATTAGCTTTTTTAATTAATACTGTACTCAAATTACGTTCCCCCCAAACCCAAACAGATATACAAAATTCACCTGGATGGGAAAAAAATCTGAAATATCTGTTCTTTGTATACTGGCTCTTTAAGGCAAAAGAGAAGTCTAGGAAATTATGAGGTTTTATGGCTGTAACTTACAGGTAGCTCCTTTCCAAATATGGATCAAGCTATGAGACACTTAGTCTCTCAGAGCAATAGCTCAAGTTGCTTTAAGTTATGCAATGTGAGCGTGGATATCACAGTGGGACTACTTTAAATACAATATGATGTCACGTTAGTAGACTTGAAAGCTGTATATGCTGTTAGCATCTGCTAGAAGGAAAAGAGTGGTATATTCCTTCAGCTACTTTACCATTGCCATTAGAAGTTTTGGAGGTCAGGAGATTCTTATTTTGTTGAAAGACATTTTTAAATTAATGATTTTTTTTAAAGACAAATAATTTAAAGTAAGTGAATAACACTTTTATCACTGATCTATCCAGTACCTTGTTTGCCAAAGTATTAAAATGCTCAGGATAGATGTAACAGATCAGACGCATTCCTGTTTTGTTCCAAGTTGAAAATGCTTTGGAATTACAAACTGCAGAGCAAGGTGTTGGCATTATCATTACAAGTAACAGACTGCTGGGCTCAAGAGCTTTTTAAAGAAATTGGATACTTATGCATTTTAAATTTGGTGAAAGTTTGTATATTTTAATTTTGTCTAGTGTGGTTGAAAAACAAAATTTTTTCTGTGTGTGTGTTTCAGGATTTTGCTCTTAAGGAGATCCAAAACTATGGAAAGAAACCATGTAACAGCACCATGGATGTAAAGTTAACACATTGATCGAGTGTTCTCTTTAAAACCTTTTAAACAGCTTCCTTTAGATTTTGAGTATATTTATCTGAGCTGTGTAGCTCACCTTGTTAATAAACCAATGAAACATTTTAATAAATTCGGATTACAGGGGATGCAAATTGTTTGTATGCAAATCTGTACATATGTAGACATTGGGTTTATTAGTAAACCATCATCTTAATGCACTGTTTTGAACTGGTGACAAATCGCGATAATTAAGAATTTAATTTCCCTTTTTTGCGGTTTCAATTTCTGACTAAAAGAGTTTTAATTAAAAAAAAAAAAAGTATTTTAATTTCTTTTCAAATACAATTATCATATTTTTTCTAGGAAATAGTGGAAATCGTTCCCAATAGCATTTTAGAAAACAGGAAGGAATTTCAGTGACCCCATATATCACTAATTAACTTTATCATACGACTAATGAAGACACAAAAAATATGCATCTTTAAAAAAAACTACTTTACACACAACAAGTAAACATTCATTTATTATTTATTGTTTATAAATTAACAGGCATTATGTCCATATTTTTATTTTAGATGGAACCAAATTGGTCATTCACTTGGTGACAACACATGTTTATCATCTTGTTTCCTGCCCAAAATGGGTTAGTCTGCTCAAACCTACGCTCAGGCCGTCAGTTATCTAAGTGTATACTCAAGTGCATTTTTTAAATGGGATTTAAAAAAAAAAAGCAGATACTTTCTGAGGATGTAAATTTTCAGTAAAACGTTGATCTCTCTTACTCAATAGAAAATAAAGACTAAAAATGGATCAGGTGCCCTCTTGATATAGATTCACTATAACTTCATTCAAGTCAATGACATTTATGCTAACAGAAAATGTACCCTCACAGAAATTAATTCAACTGGTAAGTACTTATTTCAACTATTTTACAGTCACCAACTTCACTGCCGTATTCCTATTTATTTCAGTGTAAGTGTAGAATTCAATCCATTGGATTAAATTGTCCAAATCTTACTGAGGCAAAGCAGTGAAGTCAAGAGAATTTTACCTGCAGAAATTAAAAATACAGATTTAGCTTTTTTCCCTTCTCTGGCATATAGTACTATAACATAGTGACCTACACAACCTGGGATAGTGTAGACATTAACATCCAAAGTGTGGCACAGCTCAGACTTTAAATAATTATCTAGTAACAAAGGACAAATTTGGTTGTTCATGGTTAGTTCTTCTTGCAGTGGTTTCTGTACCAGCGCCATGCCTTACAGGGTTCCCTGTACAACAGAGAAGAATTTGCTGACATTTACGCCTGAAATGGGCAACGTTATACAAAATTGGATTGACAGCAGAGTTGGCAAATGTAAACAACGCTATCCAAAAGAAAACTGATGGCAAAATATTTAAATCATGTTTGTAGCTCTGGACTAAAATTAAAAGAATAATTATTATAATTGGGCTCCACATGATGAAGAAGGAGATCATCAACACAAAGAGGGCTTGAAATAGTTTGTAGTCTTGCTGGGAAACACGAATCCGATGATTTGTTGAATAGGCTAAACCAGCATTTAAACTCCTTCTTGATGCTTTTGTAATCTGCAGTAAAAAAGAAGAAAGTAACTTTCATTGAAACCTGGGAAAACTACTAACACATTTTTCAAGTGCAACAGTAAATCTTGGCGCATGATGTTTCCTGTTTTGAAAAGTGACTACAGAAAATGCAACACAGAATTCCACTTTTACGTTTTGTTAATACTTCCATTTCAAACGTTCTCACTTCACTAGGAATTTTTCTTCCTCTCAGCTGTGAACTCACCTCAATATTAGTCAAGCTGGTTCTTCTCCTCATGGCTCTCTACCGGCTATAAATACTTTTCAGCATAAAATAGCCTTAATTACTCATGAAATTCCATTAACTTCAAATTATGACCTCATTTGTTCTATCTAAATAACTCAATTTTTTTTTACAAATGCCAACTGGAACATAGTCAGCAATCCTGTTGACGCGCAAGAAGGAAGGCAGTCCAATTTTCTGATGGCCATGCTGATAGTATAAGGTAGGTATTAGAAGGAGCATGAATTTATTATAGTAACTAAATCACAGAACCACAGAATGTTAGAGGCTGGAAGGGACCTCAAAAGATCACCTAGTCCAACCCCCCTGCCAGAGCAGGACCACCTAGAGTAGATCACACAGGAATCATGACACCTTTTACATGTGAATGGGATTTTATGTTAGGTTTTGTGTTTTCCAGTGACTAATCAGAATTGCTTTCTATGAACTAACCTGGAATCTTACAGATCCTTTTGTCACTACGAAAATCTGTGTCATGTAAAAGTACTGTCTGATGTAATAACCAGACTATGGGTAGTTTGAGAATCTAGTACTCATAGGTGTGAATCATCTGTCATTAGGTAGAGTATTGAATCCCAATGGCTTGCAAAAAACTCTAAACCTCATCCTCTACATCGCTGTCTTCACTGAAGTTGGCACAGCACAATTAAGTCTGTTACATTCACATACCTGATGCAAATTAAATAAAATTGAAATATTTAGCAAACATATTTATGCTAAATAATTGAGATGCCGTTTTACCACCTGCATGGGTAAAGAAGGGATATTTTCAAAAGCCTGGGTCAATTTGGTATCTAAGTAGGAAAGTCAAAAGGCGTAAGACTCTTCCTGCCACTTCTGTGTGTGACATTTCCCTGTAGCAATAACTAAAGGAAGGATAACACTAATACTAGTAATGCTTAATAGCTTCCTGGTTCAAGTAAGGATGAAAATGGTTATATATATATTGAATAATTTGTCATTCTTCCTGCAGTTTTCTGAATTTGTCACAGAGGCAGATTGTCTAGAATAAATACTTATTAAAAACCTAGGCATCTACCAAAGATTTCAACAGAATGTAGGTGTATAAATCAAAACCCGTGATCCAAAAATGGGTTTCCCAGCAACTGCTGAGCCTGAGAAGGGGACAGTCTCACTAGCTGCTTGCCTGATTTAAAAGGGGCAGAGAATTCTGATGTTTTGAGCATGTAAAACTGTTCCAACCTGATGATCTTCTGCTGTAGCCATCCGGAATCCAGAAACTAGGCTAACTCCTTCAAACAATCCGATCCAAGAGCTGTTCTCAGAGAGCCCCTAACCTGTCTTAGTAAGAATGAAGGCTTCACAAAATACAAAGGACTAATAGCCACTTTAACATAAAAGTGGAAAACCCAAGTTCTGGACCCTCAGCCTCCACTGTTCAAAATGGCTACAGAATGCCCTCACCAGATACCTTTGCATCCACCTCTCCTGCTGGAGCTGCGCCACCCAGAACTACGACCGCAAGAATCACCAGGATTGCTGTAAAGAAGATGCAACTCCATCTTAAGGAAGTGCTCAACTGAAATGGGGTGGCAGTGATATGTTTTGGATCCCTTATTTTTCTGCCTAGCGTGAGGAATCTAGACACCTATCGTGGGCATCTGGACCACACTCTGAGAACCAGGAACTTAGAAGTCATGTCTATACAAGTGCGTAACTTCCAAAACATAAACGTCTTTACTAGTTTTAGCCTCTTATCTAAGTCTTGCCTGAGAGGGGGAACAGTGCAAAACCAAATAACTTAATTACAAATCATGGCTTCTAATCTGTCATTTTTGCCTGCCAGGGTTCTGGGAAGTGTTATGCAAAAGTAACACTCAGTTTCAGATTAAATTGTAAAGTATACATTTGTAGAATACAATTGTTAACAAATCTGAGACCTTAGATCTGTAGTGAATCATAATCATCATAGATGCTGTGTTATTTGACTACATGAATGCTTTGAAATGCTTCCAGCAACACTGAGTGTTGTACTCTGTGTACACCAACATTGTGGAGTCTTCTCACAAAGTGAGAGTGAATCTGCTCTTGGGAATGACTCAGGGGTTAAGACATTCTCCAGCTGAGTTCTAGTTGCTTCCTGCAGAGCTGCAGGAAGAGAGAGAGAAGATTCAATTATAACAGATGGGATCCTGCTATGGGCCTTGTTCCTTTTTCAGTTTAGGAGAAAAGGTAATTCATCTTAGCATCTGTGTTATCAAGTTGGAAAAGAAACATGAGCATGGCAGCATGGGGCTGTCTTATAATCCAGTATTCCAAACATTTTTGAGGGCTTCAAGCTCCCTAAGTGCCATTTTGTTTTCTAAATTTACTTGCTGTAATCTGGAGTCTACAAGGACAAGAGGAACATCGTTCCTGTCCTGGTCTCTGACCAAGGACCGCATCACTCCTTGGCCCCAGTCTTTTGAAGTTCTCTCAAAGGGCTCAGGCTCCCTGCTGAGTTACTGAATGTTCTTTGCCTACAGCAAATACAAGGTTGCAAAAGGCAAGTGGTTTACTTCACTAGAAGAGGTCTACCTAATGCATTTACCTCAAGGTTATAATGAACCTAGAGAGCGTACAGAAACAAAGAGGTTATGATTTTGATTACTGGTTTAAGCCTGATCAATAGGGAAGTACATGTAGAGTCCAGATTCTAGGTCCTAGGTTCATCAAAACGTGTATGTGCAGCTCTGGTGCATGTACCCACAGCCCCTTGGTGCTCGGCATTTCATCAGTTAATTCCCTGCTCAATAACCTGTGTATTTTGAGGTTCCTTTCCAAAACCTGTAATTTTCCTTATATATAACATGAGAAGTTTACTTACCTAACAGAAGAATCAAGAATCTTTTGGGGGCAGTTGCTAAAAACTAGGCACTGCAGCACCCAGTTTGAAGATTTTTAGCTCTTTCTCATTCAGTTTTTGGAAGAGGAAGGAGTATGAAATCAGATGGTTTAAAAGGAATTTAGGTAACTAATATCATGCTTGCTAGAATACAGATTAAAACTGTGGAGCCTGATGTCTTGGCCTATATTTCAGCAGTTAAACAACATCCACTCAGAAACAAAGCGGAAGCAAAGTATTTAATTAACAGTTTTTGCTTGCAAAGTTTGAAATTGTGGAAGAGTCAGTGTAATCAAACAAGATCTGTGTACTAAAAATACATGCAGAAAATGAGTAGATTAAAAAGGGATTTTTTTTTCTGGTCCTGCCTCTCTTTGCTTTCTTACCAATCCCTTGTGACTCAAGTTTAGGCTCAAAGAAAGCAAAACCTAGTTTTTAGTTATTTCAAATGCTTGACTCTTTAGGAGATTGACAGTCTTTAAATATGAACAGCACATAAATGGAGAAGTGTATTAAATAGTATATATAAATGAACTTTGTGTTTGGCTTCTGGTAATGTGCACTTCAAGCATGTCCTCAGTTGAAACGTATAGGCTGTTATGTACAGGTTGAAACGTCTCATTTTATATCATGTACTTACCATTTACTGAGCAAATTATGTCTATTCCCTTTAGGTGTATTTGTATTCAGTGACAATATGTTGATGCCTAGTGAGTTACTGTTTACTTCTCTTTGTTCTACAACAAATTTAAAGGAAAAACATACCTGTAAGATTTTGGAATAACTGATGACAATGACTAATCCTGGTATTAGAAAGAAAACAATGGCAAAGGTCACATCCCAAACTATTTCTCCTGCAATGCTGGGCCAAACCAAGGTGCAAATCTGAATCTCCTGGTTACAAAAAATAAAGAAGAAAATCAACATTGTACCATTATTTTTACTACACAGTTGTCCTTACCTTTCCCTGTGCCTACAGAGAAAATGGCTGCAGACTAAACAAGACTGTGAAAACTTTCTACTCAAACAGAGCATTCAATTAATGTATTACTTCATGGTTTTAAAAGCCCATACAATTACAAATAGATGTGTTATCCACAATCTAAGTATTACCATAAATTTCATATCAAACGCTAACGGCAGCTTTAAAATTGAAATTTATAGACCTCAAACTTAACCACGTATTCGAGTGTCACGTTGGGTGTGCTTTTGTACGCATTTCAAAATACGAGGCAGAGAAACCGGCCGCATGAGCTGGGCAGCTCTCGCGGGATGCCGATCCCTGGGGAAGGGGCGAGCGTGCCGACAAGGCGGTTTCCGAGCCGCA